AGGAAAACAAGATCGAATTTACTTTTTACATGATAATGCCAGACCCCATGTAGCAAAGTCGACACGCCAAAAGTTATTGGAGCTTGGTTGGATCACTGTTCCCCATCCACCTTATTCTCCACACTTAGCTCCTGCGGACTACCACCTGTACCGTTCTCTCGACAATCATTTACGTGAGAAAAAGTTCGAAGACGAGAACGACCTCAAAATGGATCTTCTGAACTTCTTCGATCAAAAGTCTCAAGACTTCTACGAACAAGGGATCCTTTCTCTACCAGAGCGTTGGCAACAAGTCATAGACAGTAATGGAGCATACATTGTTGATTGATAATTGTATTCTGATATTTAAAAAATAAAAATAAAATTTTTGAAAAAAACGACAAAAATTTTTTACCAACCCAATAGATATCTGTGCAAAACTTGAAAAATTTGATACTGACTAATTTTCTTAGCGACTTTTAAGATCTTTTTGTTTGTTTATTGTTATTATATGTCAGAGAAAAGAGTCAGAGGAATTAATCAAACATAGAATTGACAAATCATCGTCTCATTTATTATTATTATTGCTAGATTAGATTAAATATGTTTATATCGATTTGTTGGATGTGGGTGTGGGTGTGAGTGTGGATTTGAAAAAGTAATAGATCAACACCCGTACCCACACCCACACTTTTCGTTTATGAAAAGATTTGGAATTGTCATTCATACCCAGTAAAAAGTTAGTTTATTTAATGAAAATGCTTTAAAGTTGTTCAAACTTTAGTGTCTAAGTTATTCATAAGACACTATATAATGTAAATAGATGCAAGTATTTTCTGTCCTGGTATTGGATATTCTGTGATTATTTAGGTGACGACGTCACGTTAAGCAACCCCTGTGCTACAAACAATAACAATGATATTAGTAAGAGATTTGTGATATTTGTGTTTCTTACCATTTTGTTCGAGCAGAAGCATCGCATTGTACATAGCATAAATACTTTCCAAATCAGCTCCACTTACTATGGGTAATAAAGCAAAATCTTTTGGTGGAGATTTTTTCCATCGAATCTTACGATCCAATATTAATTTGTCTAATTTACTGCCTAAATCAGTCGTAGCTTTGACAAGGTTAGATCGACTACCAAGCGTAGCAATCAATGCCTTACCATCCTGTGGTTTGAGAGCATTTAATGTTGCTTGATCACAAATATTAGGCGTTAGACCATTGATTTCAATAATATTTTCAACAAATGTTTGGCACATATTATTTTCAGCAGCATCATATTTGTGAAAATTCTTATCAACATTCGATGCCATAGAAATTAGTCGATTGAGTGTCAACAGTTTATTTGGCGTAAGCGGAATATCATACAAATCGATTAAGTCGTCGGGTATCGTCGGATAATGGAGAGCAATGCGATGTATTTTCTCAAGTTTGAATACAGTGCTAGCAACCGCATGGTGTCTTGCATCTCCAAGTAGATTTCGTAGTACCTCGGGTCCTCTGCTATTCTGAATAGTAATAAGTAAATAATTGTGATAGATTTCATCGTAGCCAAGTTCAAGTTGTTTGCTGGAAAACTTCGAATCGCTCAAAAAGTTGAGTACGGTAATAATCAGATCTTGAACAGGTGTGCGACCGAGTTGGATTTTAAGAATGCGTTCATCACCAACCATTGCCAATAGATCTCGTACTCTTAGAGGCATTTTTGGATCGTCTT